CTAGTTAAATATATTTAGTGTGCTTATTAAATATAGATTAAAACTGAATTAACTCTTGAATAAAATAAAACTTTGCACGGTATCAAGAAACAGCATCCTTGTACTCGAATTCAGATTTTAAGGAAACTGAGTTTGCACCGAGTTAATGATCGAATAATCAACCTCTGGACGATCAACAAACACCATCGAATTTCCAATAATTCACTTTTCCCCGATATATATATATTTCTCTCGGGGAGGCAACCTGTTCCCTCGATAACACGGTCCATTAATCCCCGCGTGCATCTAATGCGATCCAATTTACCCGGAGATCCACCGGCATAATCCGTCCGACCGTTTTCGAGCGGTCGCCTCTGAATAATGGTTCCGATCGTCGATCTATTTCTCCGAGGCCGGACGAATATCGGCCAGGGCATCGAGAGTTAGTGGAAGCCCCGCCGGGAAGCACGGGTGAAATATGTTGGGCAATTTTTCTTACCGCAAGAACGAAAGTTGCATCCCTTCTCGCATCGCGTCGTTCCTCGTACCTGTCGAAACCTTTCCACTTCGCCACTTTCGCAATTTCCAAGCTGGATCTTCCCTGCTACCTGGTTGCGTCGCCGAACCAGGTAAAATCAGCTGGAAATCTAGAGCAATGGCCACGCAGAGAAAGAAAGATAAAGGGGGGAGAGAGAGAGAGAGAGAGAGAGAGAGAGAGAGAGAGAGAGAGAGAGGACACGCAGAGAACAGACGAAGAAACCGACCGAGGCAGGTCGATTGTTCGAAACGGATGGTGATGAATCGCGGCCAGGTTGGGCTGACGCAATTTTCTAATTGCTGCCGGTAATTGAGGGTTGCCCCAAGGACCGTCTCCCGGCTGGGGCTACCAGGAAATTGTCCGGCCGATTCCGCACCTTTTGTCCTCGCCACTTTCTCGGCATTCTTCGGCTTGTTCGTTCGGTCAGGCCAACTGATTTCCCTGTTGGCCCTCACACTATTAGAAAGTGGACGAATTTCCCGAAGTGAATTGTATCTTGGTTGACTATTCCATTGTATCGATATTAAGTAGCCATCGTTCTTGGGAAACTCGAGGAAGAATCGTTAGAAAATAGACGTGGATACCAAAGAGGAGAAAATGTTCGAGAAGAGGTTAAATGTCAAGATTAGTAAAAATACATAATTCGAGTGAATGTTGAACGCTCTAAAATTTGTCAATATTAGCTTCGTTACTAATACAATGGTGGGAAGAAATTAATGTGGTATAAAATATAAAAATAGTTTTAATTATGCATATATATGTGTGTGGGTGAATATTATTGCGATGAATTATTGTACTGGAAACAAAGAAAAGGTGCAATTTTCACAATATGTGACGATCTTTTTTACAATTCTCTGCTTTTGTTCTAATTGTTTTAAATTATTTTCATAATCACATCTTCTGCGAAATCGTTGCCCGATGCTGGTCTTACCTGCCATTTTTTTTTTCATTTCGTCACATTAGTTATTTTTCTGTGGGCTCGGTTTCACTATAAAAATAAAATAAAATATCGTAGAAAATAAATGAAAATCGCATTTCACGCGCCGATCCCATTAATAAACGATAAATTTTCAAAGACAAAATTGTCAGCACAGACGAGAAAATAAAGTTGCAAAATTTCAGAGAATCCTTCCGTTTCGAAAATCTCTTGAAAAACGCCATGTACCAGTCTCAAACGCGGATAATCATCGTCCGATCGTTCGAAGCGATGCTGCCACGGAGACTGAAATAGTACGCAGCGAGTGGAACGAGCCCGAGAAACGAGAATCATCGAAGAAGCAAGGAAACCCGGTCGAAATCTTCGTGGTCGTATCTGAACGTTCGATCTTCCGAGCGGCGAACGTGATCGCGATGCTTTACGATCTTCTTTCCTTTCTTTCTTTCTTTCTTTCTTTTCCCGCAAGTTTGTCGCCGAGGCTCGTACCAAGCCGAAACCTGTATCGATATCCGGGGAGCCGGCGTTCCTCCCGGTGAGGACTTATAGCGGCCGTAGAAAGGTAATGGATCCCAATAAAGCATCGATACGTGTCGGAGAGAGTGTGTAAGGAGAGGTCCGTGGGACGCGTCGCGTAAGGACTCAATACAAGCGTGGACAGGGGGCGCGTCACGATGGCCAGGACGACGGGCCATCTCGTAAAATAAATCGGTGACACGGTGGAAGGCTGGTCGGGCGATTTGTGTGACGGACAAGCAACCAACCGGTGTGTACCGGCCACCGCGAGGCCGTATGAAGACGTCACTCGGCCCCGGTTCCCCGAGCCTCTCGTATCGGCAGAATCATTTGTCAGGAGTTTCACGTCGCACGGTCGGAGGTCTGTCTACTTCTGATCGACCCGCTGATTGACTTATTGTGCAGATCGCGGACAATCGCCTGTCGACGTGACGGTGATGGCTTGATGGCTCCGCGCACGCTACTAAATTGTTTTTCCAATGTAATCAAGCCTTGCCTCCGGTTTCCTTCTTCGTTCTTTTTGCATCGTAGTCGATTTCCTGAGATAGATCAACGTGGGTACAATTGTTGGGTGACCAACCCGAATAACATTGAATCAGTGAAAACGCTGATTTAGCAACAGTCCACATAAAAGTGGATTGTGAATAGTTAAGGGCAAGATTCAGTGGTTGGTCATCTATGCTCCTTCCCCTTCCACTTGAGACGATGATAACCAAAAACATACAAGGACATGCTTGGAAGAAGCAAGTAGCATTCTATTATTTTCCTCAAAAGTTCGACAATGGATTTTGTACAAGATCACGATTGCAAAAAAGAATAAACTTCTTCAAAGTTACGAGTGTGTTAATCCAACACAATATTCTTCGGATTGTTCTGCAGATACAATTCACTCCAAAATTGTGACAAAGCTGTGACCGATAAGAACCGAGAAAGCGTTTCGAATTACAAGTTGCGATTGGACATAGTTTATCATATCAGGATTTTATCCACGATACGCAGTGATCGCGAATAAAAATTTTTGCCAGTAATTAATGGCAACGAAACTTCATTAATCTCGAGCGATCTACGAGTTGGACTCGGCGACATTTCGACGAGGGCAAAGTCGCGACGACGCTAAATCACTGCCAGGGTAATTGCACAATCGGCAGAAGCCCCGATACGACCGTCAACGTGTCGATTTATCATTATCTCACAGGCTATAGAAAGGCATTTGTCAAAGGCGTACGTTGTCCGTTGCATCATTGACCAACGATTAATTAAAAAGGCATTAATCAACGCGTATCTTCTAACAAACTTTACACGTTTGCTAAAGTATTCGCAATTTTTATCACACGCTGAAGGAGAATTGCGAGAATTCGAGACAAAGGATTCTAAATTCGACGTATTGATCGACGATTCTCTGAAATCACGCGTGTCCTCGAACTTCGAACTCCGAGCTTCGAGCTCCAAAGCTGCGACACTTGGCAAAAGCCAATACGAGCAACTAGAGGATGTTCGATCGATAGAATGGTGGTCGGATTATAGTTAAAACGGCGCGAAAGGGACGGGGGGAGGCCATAATTCAAGAAAAAGGGAGACGAGCGGGGCACGGTGGAGTGCGTCACCCATTGTCCAAAGGCGGGTGTGGTTTGTCGTTGTTGGGGCAATGCGTAGGACGATCTACCTGGGCCATACCTTGCCCACAGCCACGACTTCACTCGTCTCTCTAATGCTAATATCGTCTCCGAAATTGTACGAAGGCGAGACATGTCTGGCCGGGGGAATTTTGCGACCATAAATCCATTAGTTACGCTCGCACGCGAGAGAGGGCTGGCTGACAATGGGGAACGCTTCGTTCGTTTCGTACGTTCCATTTCCACTCTCCGAAAACTCACCGAAAACGAACGTCACGAATCGCTTCGCGATTTTTCGCGATCGAAAGCGGGTCTGTTACACGCTCTCGTACACACAAGATCAGTCAGCTCGGATAAGAGGGATAGACGCGAGGCACGTAGCGAGGCTTACGTATTATCACGGGGGGAGGATCTCTAATAAAAATTACTTGCCCGCGAGATTTGGATCAGATAATTGGCCAGATTATCACCAAGACTGTATCCCGAGCGTACCCGAGCTTGGCTGGTTCCACGAAAAAAAAGACGAGTGGCCTAGGCCTTTCGAGTAGCTCTCACAAAAGCTCTCGCGACTGTCATCATCTTTATTAAGTACGCAGTACCTTTCAGCCAGCGAGCTGGATTTCCAAGTCTCTTCATCAGTCGTTCCGCTTAATCGGGCCCCGAAATCTTCCGTCCGACCGACGGAATTACCCAAATCATCGTTCCCCGAAAGCAGCCACCAAAAACGTGCCCATAAACTCCTTTCCCCGGCCCTCCGCAACAGAAACGACTGCTTTCTGCATTCATGGGAGACGTGCTCCTGTCGTTCAATGACACTGATACCAGCCAAACCGGAATCGCCCGTATCAATCTCTTCAACGGACAATTGAAATTGACACCGAGTCGGGGGAGGAAAGACGGCCCTTACACCCGCATGCCTAAATTCTATCAGCGAGTCTCGATCAGTCGCGGTCCTCGATTCGTTCGTTCGTTCGGCCCCCGATTTCCGCGCGCACACCAAACAAACCTAACCCACAAATATCAATCACGATCTTTTAGACCTCTGATCTACCACCCCTTGTCTCGGGTTTGATTCGTGTTAACCGGAAATTTATGACTGCTCGAATGTGTTAGACTAGATAGTAACTGTAACAATGTATCGATAATGAGCGAACTATGCTAATTGGATGTCACGCGACGTCTACGTACAATACACTTTTACTATTTTATTTTCCTAGAATATTGCTTTTAGCCAACGGCTCCATATAATCACATAAGTTGAAAGTTAAGAGAACACAGGTGTAACAAGACGTGCTTTTTTGTAAATATATTAGTCCTTTGCCTAATTATTTTATTTTACATGGATCTACTTACGCGCCAAATATAGGGTTTTTCCTGTTTCTTTTTCAGAAATTTAGATGTACAAAGATAATATTCGGGACTCACCATACTGCGTGCCAACTGGACAGGATTGATCCAGAAAGTGTCGATCAACAGCCGCTGTAACAAACAAAAACGTTAATTAATTCTAGAAAAATTCGATAACGACGAGTGATTGCACGAATGAGACACTTTCGATCAGAATGTTTCTGAAAGAGGTGTTATTTCACTCGGTCTGCCAAAAATGCTTCGCTGGCAACGTATTAAAGAGAAAGAGGGGTAGGAGGGGGAGGGTGGAAAAAAAAAAAAGGAAAATAGATCTCACGCAGCGTTGCACTGTTCTTCTCCTTCTTGCCGCGGGGGCAGCACGCGGGGCGGAGGTGTAAAACGCGGAGTTTTCTCGGCGACGTAAATGCCGTGAGCGCGATAAATTTCCCCGGTCGGGGAAGGGAATTCCAAAAGTTTCCGATTCAAAAGACGCCGCGCGGAGGAGCGGGGAGGGGCGAAGGCGCGGCCATGAATTATGCATGAAAGCTTCGATTCGCGGATTAAGCGAGCGCGCAACCCGTGGTTCTAGTGTCTATTCTTCGTCGTGAAAGCCGAAGCTAGCCAACCGGAGCTGTCCGTGGCGAATGTTGAAAGATTCGGACCGTGGAGAATGGATAAAATCGTCAAAGGGACCTAAGGAATCTATGAAAGCATCGCCAAAACGATCCAATTCCCTTTGAATAACTTTATCCGAAAACGTGCGCCGACTGCTCTTCTGCCACGTTAAAATTGTGCCACGATTGAAATTAGATTCGTCACGTTTCTGTTTTATCGGGTTCGTGTCAAAGGCTCGTTGCTCGTCTCTCAGCTTGAGAAACTCCGAGTCGACGGAAAAAAGCTGCCAACTTCAGAGTGAATTGGTTCGAGTCGTTTAACTCTCTGCCTAGCTTGACACAATGGACGATGTATTAGGTTGGTCGGGAAATAATTGCGCTTTTTATGCTTTGTGACTATCCCTCGTGCAGATTCCTTATCGTGCTCGTGTCGTATGTCAATTTTGAAGAGTATATTCTGGTTTGTATTTTGGAAACAATTATATCTGTTTCGAAGACAATTTAAACAATCTGTTTCTATGCCATTTCAACAACATTGAATAAGAAGCAGTAGAGCTTTTCTTTTTCTCTTTACGAAAACTGTTATGCAGTGGCGGTTGAATAAATTTTCCAAAACTCAAGTTGCACGTGAAAAAAATTACGATGCCCGGTTTTGGTGAAAATTTTGCACAAAAATTTTAATTCTCAAGCTTCCAATTCTCTCGAACTTCCGAGCGAAGCGATTTTATTTCTGTTTTGGCGTGCCGATAACGATCGTACGAAAAGACACACACCGACCGAGAGTGTTTCTTGAGAGCGTAGATCGATCAGAAATTTCGATCACGAATGAACCGGCAAACCGGTACTAGTGGAGATGGGGGAGGTGGACGGTTTCGGCGGCACGACCGCATCAAAAACCGATCGCGCTCCGACTCCAAGACGCATCATAATTATCATGGAGCCCCGTTTGCGCGGGAGGAATACGAAAGAGCCGGGGCAGCCAGCGAGCGAGTCTCTTCTCTCTCGCGGTATCAGGCATTTCTATTTACGGCGATGGGCTCCCGGGGCCGACGACGAGTTATGATATTGTTTCGGCTGCTTCTCGGAATCTACGCGATCGGTGACTCGGATAAACCCAGAAAGGGAGAGAAAAAGAGAGAGAGAGAGAAAAGGAGAGAGAGAGAGAGAGAGAGGGAGCGAATCTGCCTGGCTCCGCAACCCTATCTCGCTGCTTTCTGTACCTTCCGACCGGTTGGACCGCGGACAGGGGCAAGCGGGGCCAGACGGAGCCCGTACACTTTTATTTCTTCATCAGGCTCAACGCTCAACTTGCCTACCTTTTATGATCGCCTGACTGCTTCATCAGTTCACCAACTTTCCGAACGCTGTGCGCCCAGTCAGGTTCCTGATTTCATGGTGTTCCTTCCTCTCTCTCTCTCTCTCTCTCTCTCTCTCTCTCTCTCTGTCTTTTTTTCTTCCGTTTCGTGCGTCTCCCTTCCTCCCTTTTGCTCTCGTCTCTGTTCACTCTGGCTCGTTGCTTGTTGTCGCGGAACGGATTTTTCTTTGTGCCCGAGCGGAACGTTTGGATCGCGGATTTCACGGCAATTTGGAAATTGTTACGCGACAGGCTCGACCGCGCGCGCTCCCAGCCAGGGCCACGAGCCACGGTGAATCGCGGAAATTTTGCGTCTCCACGTTCATCGAATGAAAGAACTTGTATCAGAACTTTCCTGCCGCAGTTACGTATCAAATTCGAGGGTGAAACATTGAACTTTCCTTCTCTCCCTCCCCTTTCCATTTCTCGTGAAGCTCACGTTTCAAATAACGTGAGTTTCCGATTAAAATATTTTCGTAGAAACATCTCGACTGATTTAAACTCCTAGAACTGGCTTGACTTGTCCATCGACAAAGCACTTTGCGTTCAAGTTTCATAGGGTTGAATCTGATTGATTAACGATTGCGCAGTCAGGTCGGTGGCGATGGTCCTCGAACGATTAAATTCGGAAAACGAGCCGGCCGTGGATCGTCGCGATAAATATCTCGGTATTTAGGAGAAGGATATATCCGACGAAACGCATGTGAACCCGCCGGGGCCGAGGCGGCACGCTGTCCCCTCGGAACGAACTGCAGTAAAACGAAACGGCGATGACGCGCACACGTGTTCGACACGATTACTATTCCGCGGCCGTGCCCGTCCGGTGACTTATGTTAATGTTGTAATTATATCATCCTAATCTACCGAGTCGCCGCGTATACATAGCCTACGTGTCCGCATCCTATCAAATACCCATCTTGAAAACTGCTATACGTGCCAGAATGCAAACTCCACGGTTGCGAGGCGAACTCTCTCGCGTTTCTCTGAATCTCACGGACACGCTTCGCCCGTTTCAGCCTTTTCAGTCAGTTTCCATCTCGTCCCTTGCCCACCCTCCCTCCCCACCCTTTCTACACCCTCTCTCTTCGAGGAACAGGCCGCGTTACGCCGGGATAAGCGGTCGGAAAATCTCTCTCGATGGAAGTGGGTTACGTGAACGCCGAGAGGGTTTGACCTAGAAAACTTTCGTTCGTAGTTCGGCGGATCGTCCAAGTTCCGCTTTTGAAGGAGGAGGATCGAGCCGTTTCGAATTATTGCCCTCGTTCTTTTGCCAATAAGTCGTGGCACCCAGGTTTTAGTTAGGTTCCCAGTTAGAACGAACGCAACGCCATCGAGAGGCTCGCTGTAACTGCAAAAACGATGAAAATTCTTCGATTCATTCAATTTCAGACTTGTAAAACAACATAAAACACTCTGTGAAAACTAAGGGCTAATTAACTGTACAAATCAGGCGGAAGTTTCGTTACGTTTGATCCTATCGACGTTGGACCTCCGTTGCTCGAGAGCTTAAAGCACAATTAAATTCTAATAACTCACGGTACCCCGGCAGTTTTCCTCTAATCTCAAAACCTGTCGTTTCAACCCCCGAACAGAAGTTGACGCGGAAAAGGAGCGGCAGTTGAGAGAGAGAGAGAGAGAGGGAGCGAGCAGTGGAGAGCATCGAGAGGAGTGAAAGAGAGGCAAAGTTTCCAGAGAGTTATCCAAGGTTAGTTATGGCGGCGACAGACCCCGCACGCGGTTACAGAAGTATTTGAACGGCTGTCGGCCCTTGTAAGACGTCAAAAAGTCAAAGGGAAACCACTAAAATCAGTTAGGGATCTCAACTATGCGTGAAAGTAAGAGGGGAACGAGGGGGAGTGCGGACTCCAACGACGAGGAAGGGACCAGGGAGATCACACGAAAGGATCGGGAGAGTTTATGGAAATTTTCTTTCCTTTTTTTCTTCCCTTTTCCCGGCAAAGGGACCGTTACGCGGCGCGTTTCGCCTATTCCTCGTGTCACGGCCACTTATTACTGGCTACATTTCGTCCTCTAGACAATAGTTCCGTCGTTTGTTCACGATCTCGCCGATACCACTCGGCTTCGTGAATTATTGCCCGGCAATGCGTGTCCTTCGGGATGTAGATCGTGAAATGTATCGCGCTTCCCGCGCGCCCAACAGGAAACGAGGAAAACGTGATAGAAGCTGAAATCTCCGCGCTGCTCGTTTTCGTGCGTATCTTCTGGACATACTCCTCACCGTTCTGGCAATCAACGTTCCATTTTCGTTTGCTCGCGAAGAAATAAAAAATTCTAGCTTTCTCTCTCTTTCTCTCTCTCTCTCTCTCTCTCAGGAAGATTAGAAAAGTTCAACGGCACGCGCCACGCCGCGCGACAATTCCCCTCATCAGCAGCGAAACGAACGCCGGCGGTTCGAGTGCATCGGAATTCATTTGATCGCGTTCCAAGAACACGCGCGCACAGCGTGTTACCCCCCACATACACACATACACACACAGACACACACACACACACGCTTACGAAGAGGGAACGGAAGGAGGGAAAGGCAGAGGTCGCGGCGTTGCGAAGATGCGGATACATTTTTTACAAAACGTTTCTCATTCCGCGGCGCATTACTAGAGGAACGAGAGAGGGATGACGCGCGCGCGCGCGCGCGCGCGGAGAGGAAGCTTGGACAAGGAGCAGGCCACGGAACGGAAAAGAGGGGGTGGGAGGAGAAGAAGGCGAGCCTGAACATTTCGTGAAACAAGGAAAAATGCGACTCCGCCGAGGCACGACCGCAGCATTTTTGTCTTTACAAAATTATGTATTCCGCAGGCCTCCGCCATATCTCTCAAAGCATAACAAGTTCCCTCTGTGTCTCCCTCGCCCTACCCCCTCCTCTTCCACCCTTCTCCCTCCCTCCCCCCCCCCCCGCCCACCCGCCGACCCACGGCCACTATTTCTTCCTTCTTCGCTCTTCTCTGCCGCGACCCAACGAGAGATACCACCACCGTCCTTCTTTCATCTTCCGCAGCTCGTTTGCTCTTTCTACCTTCTCTCACCCTCTCCCCTGCTGCCTCACCGCGCCTGTTCCTCCTCTTCCCGTTTCCCGGCCGGCGGTGTGCCCGTGCATCTCCTCGTCCCGAGCGCGCACACACCCACGTCGCGCCGCGTCTTTCCGC